GCCAGGCTAGGACTTGCCCTCGGCGGGGTTGTACTCGGTCTCGCCGGCCGAGACCTGGGAGATGCGCCGTGTGGAGCGCCACAGCCGCCGGTGGAACTGGCCCGGCCGCACCTGGGCAAGGGGGGATGAGCACCCACCTGATGTCCCTGTCCCCTTCCACATCCCCTTCTGGATCCCCATACCCTTCATCCAGCTCCGTCCTCGTTCCCTTCTCCATCCCCATCCCTCATCCCCTTCTTCATCCCCATCACCTTCCAGATCCTCATCTCCTTCTCCATCCCCATCCTCTTCTCCATCCCCATTCCTCATCCCCTTCTCCATCCCCGTTCCCTTCCAAATCCCCATCCTCATCCCCTTCTCCATCCCCATCACTTTCCAGATCCTCATCCCCTACTCCATCCTCATCCCCTTCTCCATCCTCATCCTCATTCCCTTCTCCATCCCCATCCTCTCCCAAACCTCCATCACCCCCAGCCCCTTCCCCATCACACATCCCCTTCCAAACCCCATCCTTTGCTCCGCCCACAATCATCCCCTTCCAAATCCCTATTTCTGCCATCACCATCCCCTTCCCCATCCACACTCCCATCTCTTTCCCAGCCCCCTCCTCATCACCATCCCCTTCTCCATCCCCACCTCCATTCCCTTCCTCATCTCCACATCCACCTCCTTCCTCATCTCCACCTTCATCTCCATGTCCACCTCCTTCCCTATCTCCTTCTCTACCTCCATCCCCTCCCCTATCTCCATCACCGCCTTCACCTCCATCTCCACCTCCCTCCCCTTCCCCACCTCCACCTCCTTCCCCACCTCCACCCCCTTCCCCACCTCCACCTCCACCTCCATCTCCACCTCCACCTCCACCCTCATCCCTTCTCTTTCCCATAACACCTTCCCCATATCTCCCCCACCCCACCCCTGTCCCCCTCAGCTCTGGAGAGCCAGGAGGACAAGCAGAGGTCTCCAGCCCAGCAGCACCCAGTGGACACCCAGGCATGACCCCCCCCCCAACCCACCCACCACCTGGGGTGGGGGTCCACGCTCACCTCAGCGGGCTGCCCAGCCCCCACCACGATGAGCTTGCCATCCTCCAACCCCACCAAGATGTGACTCTTCTCCTTGGTGACAGACACACTGTGGATGGGCACCCGCATGGGCACAGGGGGCACGGCTGCCCTGAGGCTGTGAGAAGATGAGTGGTGGGATGGGACCCCTGGAGCCCCCTGGGCACTCCAAGGGGGTGGCTGGGGTGGGACAAGGTGGCTGGTAGCCCTCACCTCTGGAGGTCACGGATCTCCAGCCCGCACTGCATGGTCCCCAGCACCACGAACTCCTCCGTCAGGCACATGGCCGTCACCTCCTCGTCCAGCGGGACGGTGGAGAGGTGCTTCCCGTTGACCGAGTAGAGGTGCAACGCAAACCTGTCCTGAAAGACAGAGCAAATTGGGGGGGAACACACACGCGGACGGTGGTGAGGGGGAGGACACCGGGACACCTGGCCATACCTTCAAGCAGGCTCGTTGACCCACGGTGGTCTGGGCGACCACCTGCCCCTCCGGCCCCACGGCCAGCTGGGAGAGGATGGCGGGAGGTGAGCTCTCGCCGGGCGGTCGCAGGGATCGGATGAAGAGACCCCGGCGGATGGTGTGGATGATGATGGTGCCATCCTGTGGGAGGAAGGGGACGTGGGGCGGTGGTGATGATGGCACTGCCCACCCTGCCACCCATCCCATCGCCCCAGCTCACCTTGGAGCCCGACACCGCCATGTCCAGCTCGGTGCTGATGGCCACGCACGTCACCTCGGCATCGTGGCCGTACAGGACCTGGATGGGTTTGGGAGCCAAGCCGCTGGAAAACCCACCCTGGCGTTGGGGACACGAGGACCTCAGTGACCTGGTGGCAGCGCCCACTGCAAGCCACCCCATCAGGAGCGAGGGGGTAAGGGTCAACCCCCTACCTGCTGTAGGACCTGCCACACCATACAGGTGGTGTCCCGGGACCCAGAAATGAGGTAGATGCCGCAGAGGTCAAGCGCCAGGCAGGTGACAACATCTGTGACACCCAGAGGGACACCATGAGCTGCTGGTCCTGTCCCATCACGCTTGGTACCCCAACACCATGGGATGGAACCAAGACGTGTTTTGAGGAGATGCTGCTAACCCTAACCCCAGCCCAGCTCTGCGATGGAGCCTGAACTGTCCCCAGAAGACTGGGGACACTGGGAGATGTCCCCTTCCCACTCCCACGTCCCCTGCCTCCCCCCTACAAACCCATTGGGGCATCATTGGACCTTCATCATCAGAGAAGGACGTACCTATGTGCCGGGTGATGTGCCCAACAACCTTCCCTTTGGCCAGCGAGGTGACGCAGAGGCTGTTGTCCCAATGTCCCCCGCTGAAAAGCAGCTTCCCGTCAGGGGACACGGCCAGCGTGCGGGAGCACAGGTCCGCACCGGGGGCGAAGGGGCCCTGCAGGAAGCGCTGGGTCCTGGTGGGGAGGGACACGGGATGGTGGCAGAGCCATGGGTGGGCTGGTGGCACCTTTGGGGACTGTCCACAGTGACCATGCGGCAACTCACTTTGCGTTGGAGACAGTGGGGTCTTTGGTGAAGCTGAAGTAGTTGGAGATGTTCTTGTCATAGGGCAACCAGTTGTGGGTCCCCAACAAGCCGTTGGCACTCACAGTGACCTGGACAGAGACGGACGTGACACAGCTCCACCACTGGAGCCCTCCTGGGGCTTGGTCCCGGTCCCCCTGGGTCAGCAGCACGCACCCGTGCCTCAGTTTCCCCACACTCACCAGGACGTCGGGTGATCCCTGAGTGATGAAGGAGTGCGCCTGGTTCTTGGGGACCACGGCTTGCACCAGGGCCACCCCATCGCTGATGCCCTGTGGGGACACAGCAACCGGTCGGAACCCTCCTGGCCACCACCACCCCCCCAGTCCTGGCCAAGGACCCCCCAGGGTTCTCCTCACCTCCACGAAGAAGGACTTGAGCTGGTCCAGGTTCTCGAAGATGTTGGGCGAGCGGGTGTCGAGGCGGGCCAGCCTCCGGGCAGCGCTCTCTGCCGACAGCCGGGCAGGATGGGGCTCCTGGGGGGGGCGAGGGAACCCATGAGAAGGGGGGTGGCCCCCCAAAAGGCGCTATTTTACAGGCGAGGAGGTAGGAGCTACCTTGAGCAGCTGGCAGGGCGTCTGCCCAAAGTTGCTGATGATGCCCTCCAGAGCCTTCCTCTGCGTCTCGTCGGCGATGGCGTCCAGGTCCACGGCCCCTGGGGATGGGGATGGTCATGGGGGGCCACCTGGCAGGTGCCCCCCCACCTCCCTGCCCCATGGCTCACCCTCATAGGTGCAGTAGTAGAAGACGTTGAGGGCCTCCACAGCGGCTGGGCCTCTTTGCTTGTACCCAAAAATGAGGTCGATCCACTCGTGGAGGTGGGCTGAGACGTACTCCGACTCCTGCCCAAGGACGGGGCATCAGGGTGGGCCGGGAATGCCCACCATCCCCTGTAACACCCCCCCCCCCGGGGGGGGGGGGGGGGGGGGGGTGGGGGGGGTGGGAGTGGAGGAGGGATTGGGATGGGCTCCACCATCTCACCAAGGCTTTGCGGTGCTGGTAGATGAAGTCCTCGCGGGATTGCGCCCACCGGGGCAGCACCACGTCGCCCACCTTCTCATTGGAAAGCTGCAGGCAGCCCAGGTCGAAGCCTGCAGGCAGGGCGGGCAGGGGGTGAGGGACACCCACTCTCGCTGTGCTCCCATGGGTGCTGTCCCCATGGTGGGGATGACGGGTGCCCCTTACCATTCTGGTTCTCCAGGAACTCGGGGAAATAGAAGAACTCGGGGATGAGCTCCTTGACGTCCACAGGGTTCTCCATGCGGGCTTGCCACGCCGCCGGCACCGAGTGGAACTGCCGGTCCGAGCAGTCAAACCTGGTAGCACAGGACATGCGGTCGGAGCCCACTTGTCCGCCTCCATCTCCCCTCCCCAGGGTCCCCTCACCGGGTGCCCACCTGCCGCTCTGCAGCTGGATGTGGAGGGTGGTGAAGGGCTCGGTGCGGATCAGGTAGTGCATGACGCCCGCCGCGTTGGAGTAGTGCGTGCCGTAGTGGAACTTGTCCACGGTGCCCGTGGGGTCCTCGAAGCTCTCATACCTGTGGGCAAGGTGGGGGGTCCACCAGGAGCCAGCCAGGCGGTCCCCATGTCCCCTGTCCCTCCTGTTTTGGGGACACTCACTTCTCCTTCACGTCCCGGGCATGCCGCTCGTTGGCCACCCCGATGGGCTTGGACAGGTCCCGAAACACGGCTGGGTCGGTGAGGTCGAGGGTCTCCGAGACGTAATCCCGCAGGATCCAGGGGAACTGGGTGGGGGCGGGAGGTGGGTGAGACTAGGGTGGGGTCCTGGGCTCACTGGGGGGACGGGGACACACACGGGAGGCTCACCACGGGGTACTGGGAGAGGTCATTGTAGGTGCGCCCCGCGATCGTGTTCAGCTGCATGAGGTACTCGAAGTTGGAGATCTCCCGCAGGACCCATTTCTGGAGGGAAGGGAGGGTGGTTGAAATGGGCTGGGGGGGCAGACACCCCCACCCCACAGCTGTCCCTGTCCCACAGCTGTCCCTGTCCCACAGCCATCCCTGGTCTCATGGCCATCCCCATCCCATGGCCATCCTTGGTCTCACAGCCATCCCTGGTCCCATGGACATCTCCAACCCATGGCCATCCTTGGTCCCATGGGTATCCCTATCCTACGGCCATCTCTGGTCCCAGACCATCCCTGGTCCCACGGATATCCTTGTTCCCATGGCTGTCCCTGGTGCCGTGGGCATCCCCATCCCATGGCCATCCCTGGTCCCATGGGCATCCCAGGTCCTACAGCCATCCCTGGTCCCACGGCCATCCCCATCCCATAGTCATCTCTGGTCCCACAGCTATCCCCATCCCACGCTAGCACCCTCCCCTTTGCCATCCAGGAAGGAGAGATATGGGGTGGGGGTGGGCAAGGTGGGACCGGTACCTGGGTGAGCCCTGAGGCTTTCAGCAGCTCCTGGGGCGACCGGCTGCCGAAGTAGATCTGGCTGGGGGGACGCAGGCCGAGGATGCAGGAGTACACCTTGTTTCTCACCTGGGGGGACATGGGTAGGACATGGAGTGGCTGGAGCCTGGGCAGTGCCGCAGCCCCAGGAGGGGTTTTTGGGGGCAAAAGGTGCCACCACCTTTTTTTTGAAGTTGAGGAAGTAGTTGGCCTGGTCGATGAAGAAGAGCTCGAGCGCGGAGCGGCGCAGGTTGTAGCGGCGCAGGTGGACCTCGCGCAGGTGGGACAAGGGGCGCTTGAAGTCGTAGCCGATCCCTGCCAAGATGGGGGGGCACAGAGCCCCATGGGCATCACTGTCCAGCTGGATCCCAATTCCCGAGGCAGGGATGGAGGCCAGCATCACCCTGGGGCTGGGAGGAGCCCACCCCCAAAACGGCCTGCACCCGGTGTGATGGGCTTCTGGAGGAGATGGGATGGGTGGGGGGTTCCTCACCCCACCTCACTGCAGGGACCCCCCCCAAGAAGCACATGCCCTTACCTCCTTCCGTCTCCTCCTTCTCGCTGCTGCCATCGTAGAAGTAGACGTGCTGGGTTGTCACCTCCAGGCGGCCGGGGACGACAGCCACTGTTGTGATGAGCTCGCAGTCCTCCGATACCACCAGCTTCTCCCGCTGGTTCTGCTCCTTGGGCTCAGCCCTGGGTGATACCAGGGGTGAGGAGACCCCGGTGACACCCCCAGCCTGGGCGAGCCAGCGCCATGGCAGGGGATGGGGACACTCACTGGTTGTCCAGGACAGGGAGGTCCTCCTCAGCCAGTTGGTCATCCTCCAGCTCGCTCACCTTGGCCTCCTTGGCCATGGCGAGTGGGAGGGACTCGGTGGGGTTGTGGAGGTGGTCAGCTCCTGAAATGAGGAGGGCGTCAGCAGCCACCCCCAGCCACCCACGGCTGGGGGACGAGTCCTGCGAGGGTTCCCCATCCCACCCCCCAACCCCAACAGGGTCCATGACAGCTCCCAGCTCAACCCCACCACGTGCATCCAAATGGTGGCACCCCCTTTCCCGCGGCATGGGGGGACCCCTGGGTGCCCTACTCCCATCAGCCTCACCCAGGTTGTCCCGTAGGGCGCTGGCCTCCAAGTGCTGGTCAAAATTCAGGTTGGGCACCAGCTTCAGCCTCATCCGGGAGTAGGTCTCGGCGCTCGACAGCTTCCAGCGAACCTCCGGTGGGTTCCTGGGGGGCAGGTAGGGGTGAGACACCCTGGGGACCCCCAGCCGTGCCCCCCTCCCTGGGGACCGAGGCAGGGGCTCACCGGTCAGCCCAGGCGGAGCGGGGCGAGGTGAGGAGGCGGCACAGGGACCGCCACTGCTTCAGCACGGTGCTGTGGTGGTTGTTGGCCTGCTTGAGCACGTTGGCGTGCCGGATGTTTTCTGCTTTGGCGCGCTTCGCTGCCGGCTCCAGCACCAGCTCCTGTCGAGGGAGCAGGAGAGTGAAGTGACAGCAGGGGCTGGGGGACATCCCTGAGGTGAGGAGCATGTCCGTGGGGTGACATCCCCAGGGCAAGGAGAACGTCCCCAGGACGATGGACTTGGGGTGAGGAGCACATCCCTGGGATGATGTCCCTGGGTGAGGAGCATGTCCCCAGTGTGAGGAGCACACATCCAGGAGCACACCCCTCCTGGGATGAGGAGCACATCCCCAGAACAATGTCCCCAGGATGAGGAGCACTTCCTGAGGGCAATGTCCCCAGGGTAAGGAGCATGTCCCCAGGGTGACATCCCCAGGATGAAGAGCACATCCCCAGGATTAATGTCCCCAGGATGAGGAGCATGTCCCTGGGGCAAGGAGCATGTCCCTAGGATGACATCCCCAGAGCGAGGAGCATGTCCCTAGGGTGATGTCCTTGGCATGAGGAGCATGTATTCAGGGCGAGGAGCACACCCCTGGAATGATGTCCCTGGGATGATGAGAACATCCCCGGGATGATGTCCACGGGATGAGGAGCATGTCCCCAGAATGATGTCCCCAGGATGAGGAGCACATCCTGAGGATGATATCCCCAGAGTGAGGAGGATCTCCCCAGGATGACATCCCCAGGATGATGAGAACAACATCCCCAGGATTAACATCCCCAGGGTGAGGAGTACGTCCCTGGGGTGAGGAGCATGTCCCCAGGATGACATCCCCAGAATGAGGAGCATGTCCCCAGGATGACATCCTTGGGGTGAGGAGCACATCCCCGTGACCCCAGATGATGTGCCTGGGGTGAGGAGCACATTCCTGAAACAGCATCCCTGGGCTGATGAGCATATCCCTGGGCTGATGCCTCCGGGATGAGGAGCACATCCTGAGAACCATGTCCCCAGGGTGAGGAGGATGTCCCCAGGATGACATCCTCGGGATGAGGAGCACATCCCCAGGATTAATATCCCCAGGGAGAGGAGCACGCCCCTAGGATGACATCCCCAGAGCAAGAAGCACATCCCCTAGATGACGTCCTTGGGGTGAGGAGCATGTCCCCAGTATGAGAACATCCCTAGGGTGATGTTGCCCTGCGAGGACTGGGCAGTACCTGGAACATCTTGCGGCTGGCCGCCTTCTCCTGCTCCCGCCGCTGGGAGCTGCTCATCATGGCATCGTAGCAGGCGTTCCAGAAATTGGACATGTGGTCGTGGCTCTTGGCGAAGGTGTCCATCTCAAACTGGGCCATGGTGGGCTGCACCTACCAGGACAAGTGGGGAGGCATTTACAGGGCTTGGCACCCATCAACCATCATCCAGGCTATGAGCACCCCTGCCCTGGAGGTCATCCCTGCAGGCTGTCCCAAGCCGGTGGTGACATGGGGACCCCCCCGCAGCACGGACCCATCTCTAAGCCTGGGAAGATGTTCCCCCAACAGCGATGCCACTCCATGCCCCATGGCACCCACGTGCTTCTCGATGAAGCCCCTCCACTCCGGGGTGGTGCAGAAGAGCTGGAAGTCCTCGTAGAAAGTGGGGCTGCCGTTGGTGGGGGGCAGCGAGGGCAGGAAGAGCTGCAGCTGCAGGGTCTCGTAGCACTGGTCCATGAGCGTCCGGATGATGGGCACCAACCAGGAGAAGGTCTCCGACTTGGCGTCCAACGAGCGTCGCAGTGGGGTCTCCAGCTTGCCCAGCAGGTAGCAGGCCTCGTCCTTTTTGGGGGCCGAGGCGGTCTGCAGCAGGCTGTGCAGCTTCACGTACGCCAGTGAGTGCAGCTGGGGGGGGACATGGGACATCAGATGGGGCCACCTGCCCTGCCCCAAGGGGTCTCCCCCCGAGCCCCAGGAAGGGTTGACCCACCTGGGGGTCCTGCAGCATGATGTAGCCCACGAGGATGCGTAGACCCATCTGGGCCATCTCCTTGAGGTCGGAGGTGCCGTTGGCCAGGTGGTACCAGACGCCCAGCTTGTCCAGCAGACTGCTCACCCCCTCGTAGATCTGGGGGGGCACAGTGAGCCCCCCGCCCAGCCCCGCACCCCCCACCTCCCCAGCCGGCCGGGCGCAAAGCCCCCAGGTCTGTCCCCGTCACCCAGCCCGCCTCGGCTTTGCTTGGCGTGGGTTTGGGCTGTGGGCAGGGGTTAGGGGCAGGGGTTAGGGTAGGGTAGAGCCCCAGCCCCTAACCCTAACGACAAATTAGGTAGGGTTTGGCTTTAGGGTTATGGGTTGGGGCTTAGGGTATGGGGTTTTGGTAAGGGTGTAGGGTTAGGGTTAAGGGTTAGGACTGGGGTTAGGGCTAGGTCACAGGATTGGGCTTAGGGTTGAAGTTTATGACAAGGATGTAGGGTTAGGGTTTAGGATTAGGATTTAGGAGGTACAGTTAGATTTATAAATTAGGTTAGGTTAGATTTATAGATTTAGGTTAGATTTATAAATCAGGTTAGGGCTTAGGGTATCGGATTAGGATTTCAGTTTACAGTAAGGTTGTAGGTTTAAGGGTTAAGGGTTGGGACTGGGGTTAAGGCTAGGGTACAGAACTGGGGTTAGGGCTGAGGTTTATGGCAAGGATGTAGAGTTAAGGTTTAGGATTAGGATTTAGGAGGTATGGCTATGAGTTGGGGTTACAGTTTAAGGTTAGAGCTTAGGGTACAGGGCTAGGGATTTGGGTTTACAGTAAGGGTGTAGGGTTAAGGTTAAAGTTTAGGATTGGGGGTTAGGATTTAGGATCAGGGTTAGGTTTTACAGCAAGAGTGTACGGTTAGGGTTTACAGCAAGGGTTAGGGTTAGATTTACAGATTATGAGTTAGGGTTATGGTTTAGGGTTCAGGCTTAGGGTATAGGGCTAGGGGGTTGGGTTTATGGTAAGGGTATAGGGTTAAGGTTAAAGTTTAGATTGGGGGTTAGGATTTAGGATCAGGGTTAGGGTTTACAGCAAGGGTTAGGGTTAGATTTACAGGTTATGAGTTAGGCATAAGTTTTAGGGTCAGATCTTGGCATATGGGGTTAGAGTATAGGATTGTGTTTATGGTCACAGTGTAGGGCGAGGGTTAAGGGTTAGGATTAGGGGTTAAGGCTAGCATATAGGATTGGGCTTCACAGCAAGGGTGTAGGGTTAGGGTTAAGGCTTAGGGTTAGAGCTGGGGTTTATGGCAAGGGTGTAGGGCTAAGGTTTAAGGTTAGCTTTAGGGGTTAGGGTTGAATTTACTGGTTATGGGTTAGGGTTATGGTTTAGGATTAAGGCACAGGTTATTTTCTAAGGTTAGGTTCACAGGCTGCAGGTAGGGGCAGGGTTTAGGGTCAGGGCTATCATCAGGGTTAGCGTTAGGGTTCAGAGCTCGGGTTTGGGACCAGGACCCCCTTCTCCTGCCCATCCACCTTCTCGCTCCACAGGGCCTGGTTGTTGTGTCCCTCAGAGAACAAGAAGTCCTGGAGCAGCCGCAGCAGCTTGAGGGCGTTGTGGGTGAGGCCGGGCAGGGCGGCCTGTCCCGACTCCTTCAGATCCGTCAGCGCTGACTCCAGCATCATCTCCAGCAGGCTGCGGGAGAGCAGGCAGCTCCGTAGGGTGGTCCTCCCTTGGGGTGCGCCCCTTGGACGTCACTCCCGGGCAGGACTCACCTGCGCTTGATCTCATCGGGGGATCGTACCAGCTCACATGCTGTCCCCAGCTTGGTGAGGACGGAGAAGACCTGCCCGCGTTCCCTCCACGCCGCGTCGTCCCAGCCCTCCACCCCGCGCCAGGTCACCGAGAAGACGATGTTGGTCAGGAGGTTGCACAGCTCCTCCTCGGGTGTTTGCTGCCAAAGGGGAGGAAGGGTGAGATGTCCGGTGTCCAGCGTAGCCCAGGGTGGTGGGCATGATGGTTTGGGGCTCACCTGGGGGTTGCTGGTGTTGGAAACATTGTCACTGGGCAGTGTGTCCTGGTAGCTGCTCTCATCCAGGACGTTTGAGAGGCTGGAGCTCTTGCGTGCTCGCATCCCCGGGAAGGGCTTGAAGCTCTCCAGGGGCGAGGGGGTGCCGGGGCCGCTGGCGGGGGTCTGCGTGCCGCTTTCGGCCGTGGCGATGGAGCTGGTGCTGGCCAGATCGAGCCCCAGGTCGAAGGGTGAGGTGGAGAAGGGTGAGAGTGGGTGGTAGACACCATCGAAGGGAGGACCATCACCAGGGTTGGAGGATGAGCGGCTGGCCCGGTCAGAGGAGTCGAAAGACTTGAAGTTGTAGGAGTGGAAGGACTTGGTGCGGCCGCTCGGGGAGATGGAGTGGTCGGAAAAACCCTCGGAGAGCTCCTGGTCCGAGGCCTCGTAGCCCAGTGGCAGGAAGACGTCCAGCTCCTGCAGCTCAGCTGGCGGCGGGCTCGTCCCCTCTTTGCTGGAGGGGTCTGAGAAGCGGAGGAGCTCCAGGCAGCCCCCGTTGCTCGCGATGCTCAGGCTGTGCTGGCGGGACTCGTAGGACTCTTTGACGTAGAGCTTGGTGAGCGTGTCCTGCCAGCCGGCCAACCTGGCCAGCTGCTTCACCATGTCCTGCTGCGCGTAGATCAAGTGGAAGAGCTGCAACAGAAAGTCGGGGGGAGACCTGATGATGTTGCCCCAGCTCCTGGTAGCCTCTTGGGGGGTTGGCCCCTCCGAGGGGCAGGATGCTTGAGCACCCCAGATCCTCCACAATCATCATGGAGTGCCGTGGTTGCATCACCTCCATGCTGGCACATCCATGTGCCGGCAGCCCTGTGCCCGGGGTGTTACCACCATCCCCATGGCCCCCGCATTCAAGCATGGCTGAGTGCCCGTGGGTGGCTCTGGGGAGCTCAGCCCCAGGGTGACCACTCGGTCACAGCCCCTTGTGCCCATAGCCCCGCTCACCTTGCGGCAGATATCGAGCCGGACGGTCAGCTCGGCCCGGTGGGACAGGTAAACTATGGCCACCAGGTCCTTGTAGCTGGGGGGGTCTGTGGACAAGAAGAAAGAGAATGGTGGTGGGACAGGTCCTTCTGTCCCCAGAAGCCACCAAAGACCCCCAGCCTCAAGACTGCCTGAGCCTTCTGGGAAGCCACCAGTGATGACCCCATGGCACGCGTTTGGGATGGGTGGCTAGGGCCAGCCTGGTTTTGGCAGGGCACATGGTACCTGCCCCGAGGACCTGCTCTGAGAGGCAGCGGAAGAGCAGCATGGAGCCGGGGATGTCACTGAGGCAGGCGATGAGCCCTTGGTACCCGATGTCCTTCAGCTTCAGGCGGTTCTTGCTGCGCTCGGGGACCTTCTCATACTTCAGCATCTTGTAGAGGACCTGGCAAGGTAGAGAGGGGTGGCCACCCTGCTGCGGCAAAGTTCCTGGCCGCTGGGGATGGCAAGAGGTTGGCACTGGGGACCCTCCTTACCTTGAAGACCCTCTCCCGCACTTCATCTGAGAACTTCTTCTGTACCAACAGCGAGAAGAGGACCTCCACGTGGCCCGGCTCAAAGAGGAAGGTGAAGAGCTGCTCCTGGGCAGGCGAGCCCTTCAGCAGGCTGTGGATCAGCTCCAGCGCCCCGCAGACCTACAGGACATGGGGCTGGTTGTCCACTGCCCTCCACGTGCCCCACCAGGACCTCAGCAGCTTCTCCCCACCCACTGCCAAGCGCCGGGCCAGCCCACAGCACACCGAGGTGCTTGGGGACCAGGGTGGCGTGGTGCCATACCTGCTGCTCATCCTGCGCCCCAGCCACGTAGCTCAGCAAGCTCTGCATCTCCTCCCCAGAGAAACTCCTGCAGAAGAAATCCTTCACCAAGCTGAAGAGGGATGTCTGCACTGTCTTGATGTCGTCGGTGGCCGTGGTCTTCTCCCTGGAGGTGCTGATGGACAGACATGCATGGGCATTCCCTCTGGGGATCTGCACAGCCACTCTCCTGCCCCTTGTCACCTACCGCCAGCATGATCCCAAATCCCGCCAAGAAGCCTGAGGAGCTCCGGGGCAGCCCGGTGTGGACACCCCTTCTGGCCAACCCTGCCCACTGGGAAATGTCCACCCCATGCATTTGGGTCTCTGCAGGGTGTGAGCACCCCCAGTATCACGGACACACAGAAATGCATCAGGTCAGGCAAGAAAAGGGCATCAGCTTGTTGCAGAAACCACCATGCTCTTGGTTGCTCCTGGAGGGATGCTGGGGGTGGATTTTGGGGCTGACCAGGCACAGCTCTGGGTGGAGGCTTGGCGATGGAGCATGGCCATGGGGAATGGAAGGTCCTGCACTCACCGCCATGCTCCCACACCAGAAGATTATCACCATGAGGTGCTTGCAGGGGGAATATTGCCCCAAGCAAATGGTGTCTACCCCAAACCGCAGCTCCGAGGGATGAAGCCCACCACCACGTCAGCACTGGGAGGTCCCGGCTACAAGTGGCAGCTCACCTGTAGTACGTCCGGATGGAGTCGAGGATGTACTGCACGCCATACTTCTTGCAGATGCGCTGCTTGTGGTCCTTGATGACGTTGGCCAGATACTGGATATGACCTGCGGGAAGAAGGTGTGAGTAGCCATGGAGGCCGGTGGGGATGGAGAACACCCCCAAGCTCCTCCAGTTCACACCTAAGCGGACGGCGAAGTCGCTGTTGCTCCAGATGCGGAAGTCGAAGAGGAGATGCTGGTAGAGGAGGTGCAGCAGGAGCCCGCTGCCCTCGGAGGCCATCTGCTCCATCAGGATCTGCGAGGCCATCAAGGTGCTCATGTCCAGCAGCGGACCGGAGACCTGCCATGGGTGAGAGGGGAGGCTTGCAGCCCCGGCATCCCCCTTGGGGAATGGCCCCGAGGACTGCGGGACGGAGCCTTTGGTAGCCCCCCACACCTTCTGCAGCAGCGCCCCGATGATGGCTGGCCCGTGGCACTGCACCAGGCTCTCCTGGTTCACCGGGTGGTTCTGGATGAAGTTCTTCACCAGCAGCAGGAAGGCGGCCACGGTGTTCCTCTCCAGCCTGCTCTCTGCAAGGCACAGGGCAGAGCCCCACCGGTAGCTGTGAGCCCTGTGCCCACCCAAACACCTTCCTGCAGTGCTGCCTGCGTCTGCCTGCAAAGGGCATCCTGCAGACCCCACTGCCAACTTTTCTCTGCAATTTTTTTAGCCTGTTCCCCTATTTTCCCCAAATTTAAGCTAGTGGAAACCTCCGATGTTCTGAGCGTCTTAGAAATAAGCAGCTGGGTATCGGGAGAAAGCCCGTTTCGCCTATGCAGGAGAAGCCTCCTGCATGAGCCCAGCCCTACTATAAGACACCAGAGATGCCACACAAAGGCAAGCCAGAGGTAAGCAGGCCGGAGCCACCCTCATCTTCCCAGAACTGCTTGTTTATGACTAATTAGGTCATAGCAACATCAAAAGATATCAATGGTTTCTCCATTACCCCATAACCCTTGGTGTCCCAGGCAAGACCTCTCATGCCCATGGGAGCCACCAGCCCGCTCCAGGCAGCACCCACGTAGCAGCAGGGTTACCTCCAGCCACCCGAGCAGGATGGCTTCCACTCCACGTCCCCTGAGGTCCTCACCTGAGGACTTGCCCAGCGGGATGAGCATGCCCTGGGCGTTCCTGGAGGACGTCAGCTCTGGCCCCACCAGGTCGTTGGTCTCCTGCTCATCCTCGGGCTCCTCCTTCTTGGACACCACTTGCTCGAGGAGGGGCAGCAGCACGCCCATCCCACCCACGCAGTTGACCACGTCCTGCCGGAGGGAGGTGAGAAGCTTTGCCGGGTGCTGCGTGGTGACGGCAACGTAGAGGAGGAGGTTGCATGTGCACCCGGGGTCTGTCCTGCCTACTCCCGGGCTCAGCCCAAACCGGGGAGAGCCAGGCCCTGTGGCTAGCAAAGATCGGAGTGTGCCCTGACCCATCCTACAGCACACACCTGAAACAGGTCCCCAAAAAGCACCTGTTCCTCTGCACCACCCACGGTGCCCACCCTAGATACTGAGGACCTATGGGGCGGACAGGTCCTTAGGGGACCCATGGGTGATGCAGGTCCTTGGTGGACCCAATACCATGTAGCAGAGTTGCTGTAGGGTCCAGGGGAACCACCATGGCCATCCAACGCCCCTTGGGGTTCCTGCCCCTGCCCCGTACCCCAGGAGGGGCCCAGCTGCCTCCACGCCATGGGGCGGATGGGCCAGGATGGACCACCCTGTGCCCAGCGTACCTTGATGTCCCAGTTGACCACCTTGTGCCCCGTCAGCCTCCCGTCCAAGCCGTGGCTGGGAGAGAGGTCCAGGCAGATGTTGTTCCTGCAGGCCTAGAAGAGAGCACCATGGGAGCATCTTCATGCTCCTGGAGATGTCACCTATGGCAAAGGGTCTGCCAGTGCTGTCCCCATCCCCGGGGGGGTGGCTTTCCTCACCTGTGGGGTGTAGTACAGCAAAAGCTTGCTGCTGAGCTCCACCAAGTCACCTTCCAGTGTAAACGGTGATGTGACGTTTGGCCCTGGGGGAAGAGGACTGGGGTGAGCTGGGGCATGGTGGAGGAGACCTTGGTTGCCACCAGCACCTCCACAGATGTCCCCCACATCCCACCCTGACATACCCGCACAGAAGAGCGCCTTGACCTGGGCTTGCTGCAGAGCCTCGCAGAAGATGGCCACGGAGCCGAGGTGACCCTCCAGGGAGGTGGGGCTGCCCCACTCGGTGTCCTGGCTGCCGGCCGCTGTGGTGGCCACCACCCCCTCTGTGGGGGGCTGAGTGGGGATCCAAGAATGGGGGCCCAGGGCGGCGGGGACGGACTGGGAGCGGCCAAGCGCGGGGCGTGGGGGGAAGACGAGCTCTGGCATGTGGGATGCTGGCGGGTGGCTGGTGGTGGTGGCGGTGGTGGTGGTGGTCCGGTGGCCCGCGGAGCCGATGCAGCAGGAGGTGAAGGACTGGAAGGGAGAAGGAGTTGTGCTCGGCCCCCAGCCCCATGCCATGGGGAGGGGTCCAGCTGGGCGCCAGGGGGGTCCCCCACCTCATGGAGGGAGGGGAAGCGGAGCTGTGCTGTCTTCCGCAGGTGCCCATCGGTGTAGATGCTGACGATGTTCTGGCCGAAGGGCCGGCGGCCAGCGACGTGGACAATGTCAACGCAGTGCTGCAGGGAGAGGGAGGGGGCATCAGGCATTCTGCTGTCCTCGTTGCCCCCCTTGATGGGAATGGGGACAGGGATGGGGATGATGCTCACCCAAGCCGAGTCGCTGAAGGCAAACTCCGGCAACGCCACGGTCATGTAGTCCTTCTTGGTGCAGACGGCCACCACCAACACGCCACCGGCGGTGAAAAACGCCTCAAAGCCCGTCCCGCCGGCTGTGAAGAAGCTGGTGGAGGAGAAGCATGGTGGGGATGGTGGTGCTGCCCCTCCTCATCCTCACCTCAGCCCCCCTGGTGCCTCCACTGAGCATCACCTGTAGAGCTGCCTCCTCTTCGGCCTCACTGGTGGCTCGGGCTCCTCCTCGCTCAGGCACAACCAGGCGTGGAAGGCGAAGGCACCACCGGGCCACTTCTGGATGGTGGGCACCATGATCCCCGCCATGCCGGGCGTCAGGTCGAAGCACTGCAGCGCTCGGGGGGGTCCCTCGACCCGCGCCATCCCCGAGAGCGCCCGGATGACGGGTGCCGCGTAGGGATGCGGTCCCTGACCCCGCTCGTGCCGCAGCAGCCGCAGCAGTTGCCGCAGCTCCCCGGGGCGGATGGAGAGGCTGCCCAATGCCCGCAGCAGCTCCAGTAAATTTTCAGAGCAGGCAGCTGGCAGCGCCGGCTCGGTGGCCAGGGCACCCAGCAGGCAGCCCACCATGCCCGCCTTGACGCAGGTGTCCTGGCACGCCAGCGCTGGCAGCCAGGCCAGCAGGATGAGCAGGGGTTGCTCGTTGCGGATGGGGCGCACCGGGAAGGAGCTGTGGTCGCCCTCCACTGCCTGCCAAAACACAAGAGCTGGTTGGTGCAGCCCTGATCCCGTGGAGAGGGACAGATCCTCCCTGTGGCCACCCTGGGTTGGCAGCAGAGACCTCGTGCATGAAGCCTCTTGGAGACTCCCGTGCATCAAGCAATCAGAGACCCTCATGCATCAAGAGTCTTGAAGACACCTGTGCATCAAAAGTCTTGGAGACCCCCATGCATCAAGGGTTTTGGAGACCCTTGTGCATCAAGCATCTTGGAGACCCTCGTGCATCAAGCGTTTTGAAGGCCCTTATGCATCAAGCATCTTGGAGACCCTCGTGCATCAAGCATCTTGGAGACCTCCATGCATCAAGCGTTTTGAAGACCCTTGTGCATCAAGCATCTTGGAGACCACTGTGCATCAAGCATCTTGGAGACCCTCGTGCATCAAGCATCTTGGAGACC